ATAAGATAATATATATTTTTTAATTATAAATTAATATACAAAAAAAATATTATAATCACTTAATATTATTAAAGGTGAAAAAATAAAACTGAAATTTATTAGATAATTATTAATTAAAAAATGTTACCACAAATTAAAAAATTAAAATGGATAAATTTGTTAATAAAATTAAAAAATTCTAATCCACTAGCGGTTTGGTACAAAAAGTTACATAAACTAACTTTTTCAATTCGCTAGCGATTTGGATCCTAACCGCTATCCGCTAGTTAAAAATTTTACCAAACACTTTAGTTGTAGCGGTTTTGAAATATATAAATTTACCAAACACTTATATTTAGTGGTTTAGGTAAAACCACTAACCGCTACCCCAAAACCGCTATACCAAACGGGACCTTAATCTCCATGTTGTAGAACAACGGTTTTTCCACTTGAACACAATGTTCTTTTGTCATTTTAATGCTTTACAATATACTTCTACCTTTAAAGCACAATTATATTAAAATTTGTTATTAGAGGGACTTGAACTCCAGATCTCTCTTATAGAAGATCAACCATCTACCAGTGCAACCCACCTACATCGTGTGATATTTTTTGCAAAATCATATATTTATAGTTTTGATTAACCGACGATTTTATCGATTAAATCGGTTGAACCATTCAACCATGAACCAGAGGTCAAAACGGTTTGACCTCCGGTTCGGGTTTGAAAACATTGCCTCAAGTACTTCATCGAGCACCTCATCAAACACTAGGAAATCTGATACCTTTATTGTCACAGCATTTCATGAACCCAAATCCAGCAAGAACATTATTGTCATGTTCAATCCAACTCAATTTCCACCATGGTTTTAAGACCTAGCCCGATCCAGTCGATTGAACTGGTTCAACTGGACCCGGGCTTAAAAACAGGTCGGTTTCATGCATTGGCCAGTTTTGCAAGTTGGCCCATCCAAGCCCGTTAGACCCGCCAAACCCGTTCCAAACGCCCAGCCCGTTTCACCCACCAGATAGAATCTGTCATCCCTTTTACTAGCTTTTTTTTTTTTTAATTTTTAATTTAATTTACTTATTTTATCCTATCTTTTTAATGATGTTACATTAAAAAACTTAAATTTAAATTAAAATTAAATCTAAAAACCCTAATCAAAAGTACTATTACATAAAAACACCTGGAAAAAACAAAATTAGAAAGTAGAAATCGTCGGCCATGCCTCTCCCTCATCCCTGCTCCACAAAACTAGTCGACATCCCTCCCCATCTTTGTGACTCCGTCGGCATCTCACCAATCACTACTCATCTTGTCCACTGAACAAAACCAGCAAAGCAGCCCCTGATCTCCCTACTCCACTTCTGTCAGCATCTCACTAGTGACCAAACCGCCTCATCCCCTCCACTAAACAGAAGCAAAAGCAACCTAATCTCCCTGCAACTCCGTCGGCAGCTCACCACCTCTCCTCTGTTGTTAGCATATTGATAAAGCTCACACCTTTGCCACTTTTCCTCTCCTTCACTGGACCAAACAGAAGCAGCAAAGCAAAAAAATCATCCCTTTCATTACTGAACAAAGGCCATTTGTGAATCCCCCTCTCTTCTTGGACATTTGATTTCAATAAGATTTTTCGCTTTACCTTGAATTTCATTCTCCAATTTGCACGTTCTACAAGCTAGTTAATTGCTAAAAGAAAATAATTCTTTATTAATTGGCATTGGTGTAAGATTTAGAAAAATTATGTATGAATATGAATCTTTCATGCTTGATTTTATTTTTTCTTAATCTATTATGCCTAGTTGGTTATGCCTTGATTTTAAATTTTAATGTAGCATCTTTAATTCAAATAAATTTTTATTTATCATACTTGGACTCTTAGAAGTTTTCTTAATAATTTTATATATTGGTGTAAATTATAGAAAAATGTCATCTTCTGGACAAAATTCAATTGCTGCATCCACACAATCACAACAATCATGTAGAGGAAAAGCTGATATTGCTTGGAGCATTGTGTTGAACTTGAAGGCACAAAAAAAACATTACAAAGCTTGCATTGCCAAAAACTTATTAGAGGAGGAGCATAAATAGAATGAAACATCACCTTGTTGGAAAAGGTGGAGAAGTAAAAAAATGTGACAAGGTGCCTCATGATGCTTGCTTTCGAATGCAAGAAAGTTTGAAGGAATTTGAAAAAAATCAAGAAGCAAGCTAAAAATCAATGGGAAGATAACCCATTTGGTGATGTTGACTTGCAAGAGATTTCTGCTCCATCTTCTCAACCTAAAGGACAAGGAATAGCAATTACCATGGAAAATAGTAAAAAAAAAAAAGGCAAGTGGGTTGCATGATTATTTTGCTCCGAGGACAACTCCTGGATCCCAACCATCAATTAGGAGTGCAATGATAGGTATAAAAGATATCCATCAAGTTGATTTAGCTATTGCTAGATTCTTCTTTGATAGTTGCATTCCTATAAATGCCATTAGTTCCCCATATTTTCAGCCTATGATTGATGTTATTGCTACAATTAGTCCTGGTTATAAAGGACCAACTTATCATATTGTGAGAACTAGCTTATTGAAAGAATTAAAAAAGGAGGTTTTGTTGGTTGATTCTTATAGAAAAGTTTGGGAAGAAACTGGTTGTACAATTATGGGTGATGGTTGGTAGGATTAAAAAAATAGACAATTGACTAATTTTCTTGTTTATTGTCCTAGAGGGATAACCTTTGTGAGATCTATTGATGCTTCTGATGTGGTTAAATATGCTAGCATGCTTCGCAATTTGTTTAAAGAATTGGTTGATTATGTTGGTACTAGTAATGTTGTCCATTTGGTCACTGATAATGCAGCTAATTATAAGAAAGCTCGAAATATGTTAAATGACATGTATTGAACTATCTTTTGGTCTTTTTGTGCTACACATTACTTGAATTTGATATTAAGTAATCTTGGCAAGTTGGATGTTGTGAGTAAATTGGCAACTAGTGCATCATTGGTGACTAAATTTATATATAATCATGCTTTTCTCTTAGCTTGGCTAAGAAAAAGAGAAGGGTAGACTAAAATTATACATCCAGGGCCAACACATTTTGCCACTAAATTGATTGCATTAAAAAGTATTCTTGATCACAAGCATGATTTGCAAGCATTGGTTACTAGTTTGGAATTGAAAGAGTCTAGATACTACAACGATTCAAAGGCAAAAGATGTTGTTGCTGTTGTTTTAGATAACAAATTTTGGAGTATTTGTCAACTTGTTGTGAAAGTTGTGGCACCACTTATGCGCTTGCTCAGAATTGTTGATGGTGATGAAAAACCTTCTCTCGGTTATGTCTATGATGACATGTATAGGGCTAGAAAGGCAATTAAGACTGTTGATGAATAGGAAGTCTTTATATAAGCCTTATACAAGAATTATCAAGGAAATGTGGGATAGGCAACTTTGTCAAAGTATTCATGTTGTTGCCTATTACTTGAATCCTTCTTTCTTTTATGATAAAGATTATTTTTGTACCAAGCAAGAAGTGATGAAATGGTTCATGGATGTTGTGGATGCAAAAATTCCTTCTCGACAAATAAAATTTTGGAATGAATGAGTTGTATGAGAAGAGATTGGAGAGTTTTGCTTGTTCAAGTGCTCTTGAATATTCAAAAGATATGAAACCCAGCAAGATTTCAAGTTTTAATTTATAGTTTTAATATTTTTTTATGAAAAATATTTTTAATTATAAATTTTCTAACATTTTATATGTTTCTTGTCTTTTTTATAGATGAGTGGTGGAAATATTTTGGATATAATGCTTCAATTCTTAAAAATTTGGCTAATAAACTCTTGAGCCAAACTTTATAATTTCGGGTTGTAAAAGAAATTGGAGTGTTGTTGAAATGATACACACCAAGAAAAGAAATAGATTGGGGCATCAAAGATTAAATGATCTTATCTATGTACATTACAATTTGTGTTTGAAAAATAGGTATTTTATTTTATGTTTATTTAAATTATAGCTTTTTTTTCTACTTAAACTTTATTAATTGAATCTTTTCACTAATCTCTACGAATCTTGAATTATAGGATTGATAACAAGAAGTAGATTTGCTTTGATCCTATTGATTATGAGAGTATAGACAATGTTGATTGTTGGATATTGGAAGAAGATGATTCTTCAATTCTTGATTATGATGAATTGGAGAATATGATTTATAATGAAGAAGCAATTCCAATTTGTCATATC